CCCTTGGGCATCCACCTGCTCTGCAGTGGGGTCCTCCAGGGGCAGCAGGTGGATCTCTGCTCCTGCATGGGCACAGCTGCCTCACCACAGCCTGCACTTTGGGCTTCAGGGGAATCTCTGCTCTGGCACCTGGGGTGGGTCCTGAGCCTCCTTCTGCACTGAACTTGGGTCTACAGAGTGGTTTTGTATATCCATCCTCCATATACTTATTCTTCTCTCTGGCTGCAGTTGCACAGGGCTTTTTCCTCCTTCCTAAATACATTATCCCAGAGATGATACCACTGTCAGTGATAGGCTCAGCATTGTTCACTGAGTCCTTCCTTGGAGCCAGCTGGCATTGGCTCTGCCAGACATGGGAGAAGATTCTAGCAGAGAATCCACCACCAGTGCCTACCCAAAACCCTGCCACACAAATCCAATGAAGATTTTTTTCATTCTTCTTTCCAGTTACAAGCTTTGTCATCACATTTGAGAGGTCCATTTCTGTGAAAAGGTGGTTAGCTACCCTAAGGAACTGTAGACAGAGTAGAGTTAACTTTGCAGAGAGAAATCTGCCCTCAGAACCCTGGATATTTAGCTTCTGTATGTAGGTAGCAGGAAGCAATCAGCAGTGCTGGGATGCTGCCAGGATGTTCCTGGCAGGTGCATCAGGACTCCTCATAATCTGCACTTTCGATAGATGAGAAGTTAATTTCTTCTAACAGGCACATATCTTGTCCATAACTGCATCAGAACAATGTCATTCAATGGTATTTCTACGTCTGTAACGTATGAAGTGCAGCCTGTAATTAGTGAAAATTAGCTTCTTCCTCAGATAACAGCTTTTGTCAGTCATGCAAGTGCTGAATTGCCTGAAATCACTGGATTGCGTCACAGCCTCTAAAGCTCCAGAGGTATTGAGCAAGTTACCTCTGGAACTTTTGTGCTTGGTACTTATTATGCATTTACTCATCAGAGATTACGCAATGATTAAATCCCTGTATTTGGACATGTTCCTTCTGGCTACTGCCTTCTCATGCACTTTGCTTTATCAAAGGAGTCCTAAACCTTTGGAAATTATAGAAGGGAATTTCCCCCATCTGGTTCTGTGTTTCCTGCATGATCAGCATTATTGCTGTAATGCTTTATTTACATCAATTCAGAAACAGTACTAATACGCAATAAAACAATATCTCTTTGTGAGGATGAAAAGCATGGAAACTTGTTAACTGCTAGTTCATTAACAACTGGCAGTACGTTTCTCATCTTATTGTAGGGCACAGGTAAAGATACAGTGTCTGACATTCAAGTTCATTTAGTCTTTCATCTTTAATGTTAGACCTGAGCCCATAAAGTGACAATAATCAAATGGTTAATGATTATAAAATTCCTTCTCTGTCTTTCTTTTCAAAAGTCCATGAAGTATTTTAACCCTTGCATGGAAACCAGGTAGACTGCTCCTGTGCTTTTCTGTGATGGGGAGAATGATGTGGTAAGCCCATCCCCTCCCCTCCAGTTTTTTGCCCTGTATGGAGGTGTTTATCAAGGTTGAACTATGAAGTCCTCTTCAGCACTTCAGACTTTCAGCAGGTATTTCTGTGAGTAAAAGTCCTTTGGGATATAGGAGAGGAAGCATATTATCAGGACGTAGCAGCTTGGTGACCAGAGAAAGTTGCCTCTGGCTGTAGCTTTGCAGATGGTGTCTGAGAGCAGTTTGACTCCCCAGCTCTCCTCTTTAACATCCCCGACCTGCTCAGAATTGTCAATTCCCCAGTATTACTTGGGAAAAGGCTCAGTTTTTCCTAATGTATTTCTTCCACAGGTCTGATGGGATGGCTCTGCAGCACTGGCACCTAGGCTGTCTTTGCTGTTATACACAGGAGGGGTTTGAGCCTGCTTTCTATGGCCCCTGGAACAACAGGAGAGGAAGCTTAGGAGAGGATGAAGGCTTTGTCAGTCTGGGTTTTGCTGCTCTGCCTTACTGTGACTGCAGTTGTTGTGAGGGGATCTGAGGAGGGACAACAGGAGGGAGGGAAGCTGAGAAGCTTACAGCAAAGTCAAGTCAGGAAGACAAATAAGTCAGGGAACTAAAATAAGAAACAAACAGCTAAATGTGAAAAACCCAGAAAAAAATAATTCAGGGTTGATTGTGGTTTGGGAAGGAACCCAAGTTTAAGATCATGTTCAGGGAAAGACTACATCCAGCTTGAGTATCTGCAAGGGTATTCAAACTAGGCTTTTCCATCCTGGCAACCTGTCCCAGTGCCTCACTCACTCCCTTGCTATGGAGAGGTGGCTTCTCTATGTCTGTTTGGAATTTTGCTTTTCACAGCTTGTGGCTGATAGCTCTCATGCTTTGGCTGTACCCTCTGAGGAGACTCTGGATACAGCCCTCCCTACACAGGCCCCAGGAAAGGGAAATGATGGCTTCCCTTGACTTGGTGGCCCCCTCAATGTGTAGCCTTTGAACTGCAGTAGTGTTAGGACACTAAACACATCTATATGGCACCTGCAACTGAGCCAGGAACAGGTTTGGAGGTGCCACTGGCCACCCCGGGGCCTGGCAGTCTCACCTCTTGTCCATGTGGCAGTCCCTGGCCAGCCCACAAGGCCCCACTTGGTCACACAGGTGCCAGAGGAAACAGGTTTAAAGTTTGGTTGGGTCAGGGTGGACAACAGTCACTGTCCCCTCACTCCCAGGGAATAATGAAAAACAGTTCCCTGGGACATGTAAGCACCTCCTTGGTTTTTTATATTTTTTGCCTTCTGTTTCCATTAGCGGTTTGTGAAGGTAAAGACTGATAAGATACATTATGTGTCATATCACAACCAGCAGAGCTTTGCATTAAAACTTTTTGTATTTTTTAACTATTTTGTGCAAATAAACTGAAGGCACTTTGTATACACCAAGTACAAACAAACTGACAGTGCTCCTTAAGCTGGGGCCCGCATTGTGGCTGTTGTTCTAAATCTAAATCTTAACCTAATTTCCTAAATCAAACAAAAAATGAGGTAAAAGGAACACCATGAGCATGAGTCCAGCTGTGACAAGGCACATCACTAGCCATGGTCAGTTGTGGGAACCACTGGTGTGGTGGAAACTGCCTCAGGGCAGGACTAGGGGGTGAGCGCTGCCTGAGCAGTGTCATAGCCTGGTATCCAAACTGCTGGGGCTTAGCTAGAAGTGTCAAAGCTCAGATGAGAAGATTCTGTCCAAGAAGCCCTTGGTGCAGAAGAAATAGAGCTGTAGAGTCATGAGGAAGACATGAGGTGCAAGGCCACCTCCATCTGGATAACAGCATGGCCTAGGAAATGGCATATGGAATGCCAGAGCTGGGTATAGGTATAATAGATTTGGGATCCCTGAAACCTGTATGTAAAAGAAAACACTACCATTCGAGTCAGCGAGTTTGAGGCATTGCCTAATGTCGACAGATAGTCTTTAATTGAGATAGCTGCATACTGAGAGCATTGATATTTTTGAACTTTTGTGGCATTTCACCATGATCCATAAAACAGTTACAAAAAGCTGCTTTCATTAGGGCATGGGTTCTTTGTTGCCTCCTCCCCATCTTTTGGCCAGTTGCTGTGGCCCTGCAGAGAAGCATGTCCAGTATATGTGATGCCATGCACACTGCAAGGTTGCACTTGTATACCTCAGCCATATGAAATTCCCTCAGTTCTCACTATTACATAGAGAAATTACTTTCTCTGAATAATAGTCTGTTCTAGAGTTCAAGCTGTTACCATTTCTACAAATCACCCTTTGAGAGAGGTACTGGCACTCTGTGAAGGATAGAAGGCATGTAGTTATGCACTGCCTATGACTGTCCATGAGCTCTGCCTTAACAGAAATCACTTAAAGCTCAGGTTACTCTATAAGCACCTGGAGCTGGCAGCAGCTCCTGTGAGTACTGGCTGGCCAGGACATGGCCTGCAGCCATCACAGTAGTTTCACACAGATCCCTAAACAGCATGGGAAAGTTCCATCATTGAGTAGCAGCTCAAAAAATGTACTTGGAGTGGTGACAGAGCCTCTCCCTGGTGGTTTCTCTAGAGGTGTGCGCGGCAATTTTAAGATTGTGTATATTTTTGTTGAATGTTCAGGTGTCTCAATACTCTGATACAGTTTGGGAAAGCAACAAACTATGGCTATTGTTTATTAAGTGCATTAATGCATTCTAGAAGGCACAGATTTGGAGAATATAGGCCCAATTTCAACTTTCTTTTAAGCTCACTCTGTGCAGATGAAATAGTTCAGACATGTAACAACCTGGCAGGAAGTCATGGCAAGGAATATATGGTTAAGGAAATGAAATAAACACATTTCCATGAATACTCAGTGTTGCTCATGTGTCCCTGTCAATACTACAGTCCAGAGCTCAGAAAGCAGTAATCTGGAAAGTCCAATGTTACGGAGTTGGCCAACCAGGAAATATTAATGTAGTACTTTGATATTGGTGCAGCTTGCGACCCAGCTCCTGTGGGCTTGCCACGCTGAAATGAATCTGGCTGGCTCAGCCCACCTGCCTCTGCTCCCGGGCTGTGTTTATTAAACTAGAGCACAGCAGACACACAGTTTCTATAGGTAACATTTAAAGTTACCTACATTTGACTTTCCTCATTTCACCCACCCACCTCTTTTCTCATTTCACTCTAAAACTACACACGCTTCACCCACAGAACCATTACCTCATAGCCTTTTATTTCCTTTTCTTTTAGACTGAATCTTTTAAGCAGCTTTAAAAAAAAACAAAAAAAAAAAAAAAAAAGGAAAAAAAAGAAAATATTCCCCAGCACACTTATCTCTGTTTGTAGTACCCGGAAGGATTGCTGGGGCCAAATCAGGCGCAATGGAATTTGCTGTGGGGAAACCCGCTGATGACAGTGGAACCCGCCCGTGTGTGAATTCCCGCGGCTCCTGCCACCCCTTTATAAGCAGGTGGAGGTGAGGCAGGGCTGGCAGGAGCAGCACGTAGCAGCCAGGTACTCACTGGAGCACAGCTGTGTGTGGAGAGGGAATGACTGGCTGCAGCAGCAAGAGCATGGTCCTGGTTTCCCTGCTGGGGCTCCTGGCACTGCTCCTGTGGGGCACCTCGGAAGGTGAGTGACCTCGGGTGTTCTGCTCTGGGAAGGGCTCCTGGTGCTGCTCACAGCTGGCAGCAGGATGGGGCTGAGCTGGAAGGGAATGGTTTCACCAGAATGTGCTGCATCCTCTCTCATCCACCTCTTCTGTCATGAGCGAGCTGGATGGTTGGGGTTGAACACTGAGTGCCCTAGACAGCAGGGCCAAATGGGGTTTATTGACTTTGTTGTTGTCCTCCATTCCAGCACAAAGCAACCAGGATTGCTGCCTGTCCTACACCAAAGTGCGTCTGCCTCGGTGGGTCCTGAAGGGTTACACTGAACAGCTCCCCAGTGAGGTCTGCGACATCCCTGCCATCATGTAAGTTACTTTCTGAATCTCTCCAGTTTTTCTGACATGTATTAACCTTGTATGTCTGTCTGGGCTAAACGAAGGATTTGAATGTTATAAGGGTGATTCTTCCTGCCTTTTCAGAAAGTTAAATTAACTAAACAAACTGTACATCTCACCTGTAAACAAAACACACAACCTCTAGTTGATAGGGACTGCTAACCCAAGGGACAGTCATACAATGTAAATAATAAATCTGACTCTTTAGGAATCAGCTGTGTAAACAAAGACAGGTTTTGTCTCCAGCTAAGGGCCATTCTGGCCAACACAGTGTGCTCCCTTGCCAAAACCTGTGAACAGATACATAAGTGACAAGATTCCTTCTAATTCACAGGGATCAGATGTTTTTTCTTACAAGGTTTTGGCCTTGATGTTGATCTGTCACCTCAGCTTGACAGCAGCTATTCTTAATTTTACAAATTGTTTCTGGCATCCAGCAAAGGTCTTTGCCTAAACAGATCAAATAAATTGAACAACATTTTATGGTGCAAAAAATGATCCCTGAGACTGAAGTAACTATTACATTTAACTTTCTTTTTCTTCATATAATATTGGAGGGATTTGGAGCATTCCATGTTTAGCTGGTGTTTACAAAAGCAATTTCTATTGGTCATTATATAGAGTAACTGTACTCCACACAGCAGTTATTGGCAGGGATTTCTGATATCTTTATCATTATTTCTTTTCCAGTTTCCACACTGCCAGTGGGCGGAATGCCTGTGTAAATCCTAAGGAAGGCTGGGTGAAGAAACATCTCCTTTTCCTGAGGTAGGAATCCATCTCTTTCCATCTCCTGTCAGACTTAGCTACTCCTTCCTGAAATCTTCTCAGAGACAGTCATGTCACATGTCCCTTCTTCCACCTGAGCTATTCTCTCAGGGAAGAAGAGAAAACTATAATTGAGGTCATTATTTATGTGTGTTCTCTCTTCCTTTGAACAGCCACAAGCTCAGGAAGATGTCAGCCTGACGCAGTTTCCAGCAAGGACCAAAACACAGACATGGCTGAAGAAGCCCTGGGTTGAGGCTCCTGGCCGAGGTGCTCGCTCACCTCCAGCTCTGGCTTCTTTGGAACCCGTGAACCTCTTGAGTTGATTCATATTGCATCGCTGTTTTGCTTGAGTTAAGCATGTTGTTAAAGTTTTTATTTTTACTAATATGTGTATGTTACTGATAGAACATGAGTACTGTTTACCTTGAGCTGTTGTACAGAGTGTGAATTTTATTAAGTTTATTGCATGTTGGTTTTGTTTTCTTCAGCATATGTAAAGCAGGTTATTTATTCTGTTTATTTTGTTATTGTCTTGTGCCAAAATATTTCCTTTAAGCATTATAATACCTCTTGAACTATTGTTAAATAAAGTCTGTTTGCAGAAAAAAAAGGTAACTGAAGATTAAAAAAAAAAAATAAATGTTAAAATCAGCACTCTCTGTGATATGTTTATTTCTTTTTAATTGAAAACATGACTTGTCCTTGAAATTAATTCCTTTGTTAAGAGCCTCCAGGTGAAACAATTGCACAGGTGTGTTGATACCTGTTACAGCCACTTTCCACCTTACTCACTTTGCTTGCCCTAGGGGTAGCTATGACCTCCATAGGGTGTAATTCCTTCCTCAGACAGATGCTATATATCAAGTTCTGCTTACCATGAAGACTTAGCTTCATCTTAATCAGACTCAAGAGGACTGCTTTTGCCAATTTCTCTGCTTATTCAGGAGGAGCCTTACACATTGTTACTGGGCAAGCTTCTAGCTTATCCACCGAGGAGGATTCATTGTGGTAACAGTCTGCTCTCAACCTAAAGGGCTTTCTCTAGAGGAGAAACTTGCAGTGCTTTCCTCTGCTTTTTGTGTCTGCCTGTGGTATCCTTTTTGTGTCTGCCTATGGCTTCCAGCATAATGAGGTTTTCCTGATGCAGGAGCTCTTGATGGAGGTCAGGGATAAAATAATGAGACCTCATGGAAGAGATGGGTACATGTGGGCTGGGGAAGACTGCTCAGCTTTTTATCCTCTAGTACATGGCCCATGTGGGCTTCAGGGATGTGACCATGCAGGGTGTGCAAGTGAAGTCCTCCCACTGTCAGCACAGGAGTTTTGTGGATAAATTTACATCTTGTCTTTTAGTACCTTTTAGTCATGGAAATACAAGCACTAATTTTAATTTAATTTTTAAACTTAAAGGCAAAGTATTTTTGGTGCCCTTAAGAGAGGAGCTGAGAGATACTGCGTTTTAAAAATGGTGTTCATGAGTGTAAGGCTGTTATTTTCTGGTTTCAACACGTGCTAGAACTTAAAAAATCTGCTTGTGGCTCTACAAATCTGGAACTTGTCAGTTCCCTGTGGGTGAAGCTCTCAAGGAGCAAGGTATCTAAAGGAGCAAAATTAATTAGCTTTAATTTCCTTCAGGTGGATTCCTGATATTGAGAACATAAGGTATTCTCCAGGGAGAAGTAATTACCCAGCTTGTTCTGGGCATTCCCCTAACTTCTGGGCAGAAGTGTGGGGCTCTGTCTCATAGCTGCTAGTACTGGTATGGGCTGTTTGGGCTCAAAGAGTTCACAGGCTAAATCAGGAACCAAAAAGTGGTAGACATGATGAATGGGTTTCTGTTAAAAGTGCTGGAAGGTGAGGTTCCCCAAGCCTACCCTGGGAACTGGTGTTAGGAACCAGAGCCGTAAAGAACTTGGTGCAGAAAAGACTGGAGTCCAAGAGTTGAATTTAAAGCAGGGGAGCAAAATAAGGAAGTGAAGACCACTGTGTGGAATTCTGGGGGTGGCTCTTTATTCCCAGTTCAGGCCTCTTTAAAGTTTTGTAGTGCTTCTGTAACTAATGCTTCCTCTACTCATCCATGGTACCATTGCTATAAAACCCCACATGCTCCATCCACAGAGCTAAGACTTGAGGGATTTCTTTTTAGTCCTCTTATGCTGGGCAAATTTTTTTATAATCAACCTCTTGGGAAGAGAAAAGATATTGAAAATATCGGCTTCCATGCTCAATATCAGAAATTGCTACGGTTGTTATGTTACTGGTAGGGAAGTCTGTGTAGAAATAGCACGTCTCTCCATGCCTTCCTGAGGATACAAACAGGCATTGTAACTGAGTGCTGGGACTCCAACATCATCAGATCAGAGGCACATTTTTGAATGTAACCTTAAGTGGTCTGTTAGAAATTCTGATAGCTCTGTAAATCATTACCCTTTCTAGGAAACCCTGAAGCCTGATTACTTTGGTGGGACTGTTCTGCACATGAGTAGGTGAGTCTCTGTCTCCTCCCTATCTTTGACCTTCAGCTCCTAATTCAGCCTGTGCAATTTTGTTGAATAATTTGAGATGCAGAATTAAATAATGATAATTTTGAGAATTTTTCTCTTCCATTTGCATAAAGTTTAAAAAACCAAATTTTCTTTTCTTGCAAAATATTTTTATTATAGCTTGGATATTTGGGAATTGGATGTGAGAGCTTTCCCTTCAAACTCTGACCACTTTATACTTCAGTTTCAAAATGTCCTGCTTTCTCTGTATTGAAACTAGTCCTCAGTGATTCTTGTGCTCTAGCTGCAGTATTGCTATTGAATCCTATTTGTGTCTATTCTTTCTGTGCTTTTTTTAAAATTTTTTTAAATTTCTTTTTAAATTTTATTTTATTTTTTTTTTTACCACAAAGCAATCTCACACCTTTCCAAATCAGGAATTGCAGCCTTTTGTTGTGTTAGGATCTTTGACAGAAAAATTTCTGTTCACATATGGAATCATAATTAGATTACTCATTTCTAAATTTTTTTTAATTACACTCCAGCACAAAGCAACAAAACAACTAGCATTGCATGGTCAGGGATTTTTGTAAGGAATAGCAAATCTGATGATTTAATTTTGCTGTTAAAATATAAAACCTGCCACATTTCGTCTGCTAGAGAAGTACTAACTAGTTATTTATTGCATTTCTCCTCAGTTGATGGCAGCTTCCATAAGTTGAAGACTGTTTTATCCCTTCCTTGTCTCCTGATTTTTCCACCAAAAGGGGAAAAACACAGAGGGGTTGTAAAGCCCCCTCAAATCCAAGAGACAAATGGGTGAGTGGCCTTGTCCTGCAGTGCACAGCTTTCAGGCATATCTCAAACCCCAGCTTTACTGGGTGTGCTTAGTGACAGTGACACTTTCATCCCTCCACAGGGATGTGGATAATTGGTCAGTTATTTTCAATAACCAACGAGCCCACGTGCAGCCTAACTTCACTCCTGATGAACTGGAGTGCACTACTCAGCTGCAATTTTGTTGAGAATTGAACTGGGGAACTCCAGAACTGCAAAGGGCTTTAAGCCTATGACACTGTCACTTGATTCTGATGGTATCCACCCAGCCGGAAAAACATCAAAACAATAGAAACGGATCAATTGTAACAGATTTTCTGTACACTGAGTTCAGCTGTGTTACACCCTGGCAGCCTTGCTCCAAATATCAGGCTACAGGCAACATCCTTTGCCAAAAAAATGAATCATAAAAGAAGCTTTTAGTCTTCAGAACAAGCCCACTGCGTTGTGCATGCTAATTATAATAAGCAATTACAGCTGTGTGACTGTACATAAATGAAAACTATGATTTATGTTCTCATGATCTTGTGGTTGCTCTGTTCTGGGAGGTGTCAGCCTTAACTGAGCAGTGCTGCAGTCCTAAGTCTGTAAAGGCTTTTCAATTGCTGTGTTTATTCTTTCTGTGCTGGCAGGTGCAGACAGCTCCCAGCCAAAGCCCTCCTAGAGCTGCTGGTGTTAGAACATTTAGATGTGATATATAATAGCTGCAGTCCTGTGGCTGCTATTGTATATTAACCATAGAGCATTGCTCATAGACCTACCACTGCAAATAAACCCAGGCACTCATTTAATAGTGTTTTAGCTTTCTTGAATTTCTAGCATTATTCAAATATTATGCAATACAAAATACATATTAAATGTAAAAGCAGCAGATGAAATTTAGAATACTGCATGCATAAAAAGCAAATATGCCACAGGAAAAGTGGAGACAAAAATACTATATTTAATTTTTCTTTTTAAATTTACAACAGCATTTCTACAGTTTTGCTTCCATGACTTCATTTATACCCCCAAAGTAGGTGATAATTTTACTCGTAAGCACCTGCACTTAAATTTCCATGTTCCTGAAATTTTCCTGCTCCCTAACTTTAAACTGAAAACTCTATTATTTTTTTTACACTGTCTTTGTATCAAGGAGAAAATTTATAATTCGGGTTGAAACTCCATAAAAAAATAGCTATTCTCTAAATAGCATCCATATAAGGAATTTGCTGGATATACTTACAAGGCATGTCCTATATGAGAGGGATTTTATGCACCATTGTGGCAACACAGCTGATGTACAAAAGTGAGGAGAGAGAGATTGCACATGGCACTTTCTCCTAGACTGATACTGCCAGCAAAGGGATATGAGCATCCAAGGAGAAAGAGTACTACCCCTGTTCTCAGAAGTGGCGGCTGATATGAGTGGGAGTTGACTTTGTATAGGAATCTGTTCTACAGATAAAGAGTTGCATCACAGATTCTGTTAAATTTGGTTTCTTCCCAACTCTTAATATTCATGAGATGCAATCAAATCAGGTCCATTAAATATAAAATTAATTGCCACACATATAAATTTAAAAACCCCAGCCCCTTGATTAATTTTTTTTGTATCCAACGCATTTCAGCATATCAGGTTTTCATGAAGTATCTTGATTTACCTAAAAATCTAAGCCTTATAATGATTATTTTTTCTAGTCCTCAAAATAAACCCAGACAAACAAGTGGAAAATACCTCAACAGCTTTTCGTATCCAAGCTGGTTGCATGATGTTTCAACACCCAACACATGTTTTTGTGTAGCAGCTGTAGTAGTGAAATTTAACAGCAAGGTCATTGCCATGTTTCTTTCAGTGAACACTGCTTCCAGTTATCAGAAGTGATGATCTTGAGTCCCTTTTTCAGTGAAAACAATGGCTGTTCTAGCTGAAGATGGCTGAAGATGCCTATGTTCTTTCTATCTGTTTGGTTTATAGGGTTTTTTCTCCTTGACGTCTTTACTGCTGCAGAGGGATGGAATGGCCTTTAGAGACAACTCAGCACTGCCAGGCTATCATTAGCTGTCCGTGTCACAGTGCAGGAGAGGACACATGGGTAGCTGTAATATCAGATATCCTTTCTGTAAGACGACACTCGGTTAAGAGACGTGCCCATGATAAGAAGGAGGGAG